GTGCAAAATTTCCCAAATTCGACATTGCGCTTGGAGATCTCCTTGGGCTTCAAGAGCTTCAACTCGTTGAATTCGTCGAAGAATTGGCGTTGATTCCACTTCGATCGAGCTCGTAGAAACTGAAAGTTGAGGTCTTTGCTGTTGAAGTCAGAGAACATTTTTGCGCAAACGAACGATTCGAAGGCGAAATTTCTGTGCTCAGGGTTTAGAGAGAGATCATGAATCGACGCAGCAGCGGCACTGAGATCCCAACCAGCGGATTCCATCTCCTTCACCATGATCTTGACGAACGATCTGACCGATTTCACGGCGAATCTGAGCGCGATCAGGAAATGGTTAGGGTTTAGGGCGGAGATATGAAGATTGTGGAGGGAAGCCAGAGTTTTGTTGGGACGGAGCTTGGCTTCGAGAGATTGATTCTTGCTCTCGATCTCCACGAGCTTGTTCTTCAGATAAGATAGCTCGGAATCTTTCGATTGGAGCTCAGATTCGAGCTTCTTGACGGTGACCTGGAAAGTTTTGACGAGATTCTTCTGCTCCTGAATCTGAGAAGCGAAAGCTTGCAGCTTTGTCAGCGGGGAGATCTGGTTTTTTAGGTACGATCGCTTCAGCTCGGCGATCCGCTTGAACTCGGACACCACGGATTGATCCGAGGACTGAACCGAGCCTGGGTCGTAAGGAGATTGGGCGAGCTGAAGCTGAGCATAAGAAGCTTTGATGGCGGAGATGCTAGTGAAGAGATCAGCGACGAAAGATTCAAGAGCTCCCCTGTTCTCGCCATCGCCGCCGTTTCCATTGTTTGGATTGAGCTGGGCGACTTCTCTGGGGTCGAGAGGCTGGGAGAAGAGGGTTTTGAGTTTTTGGAGCTTCAGTTTGGGGATGGCCGGCTCGTCGGTGGAGTCGCCGGGGGTGGCGTCGGAGGGCGTAGGGGAAGGGGGATTGAAGTTGGGGGTTTCGGTGGAGTTCCAGATTTTTGGAGGGGAGAGAGGAACGACGGTGCTTTTTTTTTTAAGAGGAGAGATTTCAATGTCGGTCGTGGGATTTGATGTTTTTAGGAAGGAAGCAGCGTGCTTTGGGCGTGTCAGGGCTCAGGGGGCTTGTGACCGTTGCGTCTCTCTCTTCTTTGTTTGCCCTTTTTATTTTTGTTTTTTTCTGCGATTTCTTTTGTTGCGTATTCTACCCATTTTTCGTAAGCTACAATTTTTACTGCCGGAGAAAGTAGTTTTTTTTTTTTTCGGGTTGGTAAATAGCGCTTATATGAGTTATTGTTTCACCCACTTTTCAGATACATACCTCAACTTATGTTTTGTAGCAAAGGCGTACCCTAAAGTTTTTAAACTTGCACTTATATACCCTCAATTTTTTTGGCGGCGCTTAAACGCTTCAAAGTTGTTGCAACAAGTACTTAAACATCCTAATGCTTTTAAAACTTGCATATAAATACCCTTAGTTATGCAAATTTAAATTTGAGGGTATTTAAGTGCAAGTTTTAAAAACAATAGGGTATTTAAGTGCCAGATTTAAAATTTTAAGGTATTTAAGTACAAGTTTTAATACGTTTAGAGTATATAAGTGCTACAAAAAATAAGTGAGATTATATAAGTGAAAAAGTACTTGAAACAATAGAGCATATAAATGTTATTTAGCCTTTTTGTTTTATTATAATTATCGAGAGAACCTTCATCTAGACTAGAGTGTATTTTTGAATGAAGAGTATGAAGTTCAGAAACCATTTGAGTCAAATTTTAATTGTTTCCAATTGGATTTTACAGATGAACGTGAACCTGTGAAGTTTTGAATCTCAAGTCATCTCCAACCACTCTCTAAAATGGGGATCCCTCAAAATTTGAAGAGTGAATCTTCTCCAATCACTCCAAATTTTGGAGAGTGAAGCTAAAATTTGGGGAGACTCTCCAAATTACTATTCAACTTTTATTATTTATAATTTTGCCATTTTTAACTATTTAATTTCTTAAAAATTACCACTTTACCATCATTCTAAGTAATTTAAATTAGATGTTTAATTTCAAATAAATATAGTTTAAAAATTATTAATCGATGTATGCTTTGTCACCGTTATTTCAGATTTTATTTTATTTAATATGTTGTATTGCATTATTAATATTAGGTTCATTTTAAAACTTTCGTCGACACCTTTCTAATGTTATAAATTTTTTTCCAAATAAATTATTAAAAATAAAATTATTAATGTAAACTATATCCAACATATTAATTTATATGGCTTTTTTTAACCAAAAAAACAAAAATAAAAATAATAATATTTAGAGAGTGTGGATTTGAGCAAACTCTCTAAATTCCACTCTTCAAATTGAAATATTCCTAGAATATTCCAATTTGGAGAGTGGAATTTAGAGAGTAGGGTTGGAGATGCTCTCACTTTCATTCGGCAACATATCTTGTGTCAAATAGAATTTTGAAAGGAATAGGGAAAGTTGAATTTTATAAACCAAATCAAGTGAATAGAGCATATGTTTTTTTTTCATTCATTTTTTTTTATAAAAATTGGTGTTAATTATGATATTTTCATAGTAATTGTCTAAGGACCATCTTACATGAGTAAATGGTTTTGACATAAAAATCTACGGGAGTGGGTTGGGGATTCGTAATACTCAATAGCATTTAAAAGTAGCCAAATTCAAAAATCAAGTATGTAGACTTTGTGTCCTGACATATTCAAGTTTTTACCATGATATTTTTTGCATCCGGCATATAGCATAACTTGTTTGGTAACTTTGAATTATGATTTATTTATGGATTATAATTTAAGTGGATCAAAAGACCGGTTTACAATACATGTATTTTGCTAAAATAACAAAAATAACCCTTAAACATTGGAGGAGAGAGAATGAGAAAGAATGAGATGTAAAAGGGAAAAGATAGTTTTGTCTTTTACTTGGTCTAACATATAGATTACAATCTACCTAACTAAGCTGGAATCATAGATTGTTTTTTGGTGGATTATAATAACCTACTCAACCAAACACGGATAAGTGAATTATAATCTAAATAAATGACTTATAATCCACTTAGGCTAAGTTATTAAGCATGTTCATTGTTCAGAGTTAATTAGTATTGTTTTGTTTATAGCCTTGGAGTGCTATATCTATTTTGCTTAATAATAAGAGAAAATACAATTATTTGTTCAAAAGCACATTCTGTCCTTTAACGGATGTTACAAAAAGTATGATTTATAAAAGAGTAGTGATAACTCAACAATTTCATTTAAACTACTTTCACATTATAAAAGAAAAAAGTATTGACTCTCTTGACGAGTCGTTATTTAAAATAAAAAAAGGTTAAAGATTTTGACTCCACTGCTTCCACAAGACAAGAGATAAATGTGTGGAGTCTTTAATTTTTTTTAAATTTGATGACTTATCAAGGGCGTCCACACCTTTTCTCTAAGCGGCTATTTGTTTTAAGTTTTTGGGGTAGAAAACTACCTGATGGCAACCCCTTAAGAAAAGCTTCTACATTAAAGAAATTATTTTTTTATTGTTTATTATTTTTTTTGGGAAAAGCTTTCTACAAATTGGCTTAACACCACCACCACCACCTCCCCCTCAAAAAAAAAAAAGGAAAAAAATGAAAGCCAAAAAAGATTCCTAAAACCCATTCTATGAGCTTTGGGGTGGAAATGGGTGATAAATATGTACTATTTTTGGGAAATGAAACAAACAACCCATTATATTAATGGACCCCCCCAATCTTAGGAAAGTATAGCAAAGCTTGCATTATTCTTATATCAATAGCTCGTATTTCTTTTATGCCTAAAAAATTATTTCAAGTTATACAAGTTAAAAAGATTTTCTTAATTCTCACAATATCAAGAGTGAAAGAAGAGAAATATTCTTTTAAATACAAAAGTTATGGACAAGGGAGAATGAGTGTTTCTCAAAATAGTTTAGAGAGAGGAATAAGATAAAAAGGGATTTGGATTCTCTCCCCTACCAAAAATATACTGAAGAGTTCACTACCTTATCACGTCAGTTAATCTATTTAGTGGGTGGTTGTGATTTGTCTTTGAGTATAAATAAGAAATGAGCGAAGTTCATGAGGAGTATGATCGTTGTTAAATTTAGAATAAATCATAACCAGCTTCTAACAAATCATTGCTTATTAATAAGCCATTGCCCTCTCTACTATTTTTTTGATAGTGGAGAGGATCCGAATTCTTAGAAAGAACAATGGTGGAAAAGAAAATTAAAGATATTAATTTTAGAATTTTTTTAGGGAATCTCCCTAGTTTAATTGTTGGGCTCTGATACCACTTATTGTGCGTGGCGGAAGCCAAAACCAAACCGATGTGCTTCGAGAAACCAAACCAATCGCCGAGAGAGAAGCCCACAAACAATTCAAAATAATGGCACAAACACAAACAACCAATTTTAACGTGTAACTCTAACCAATCAACTAATCTCACCAACAAAACTCTTAATCTCTCAAACAATAACTCTAACCAATAGCTCAGAAATATCTCTCTTTTCTGTGCTCCAATATCTCCAAAACAATTCCCAATCAAAGCCAAAGAAACCCTAAAACGTGTGTTTGTATTTATAACAAACACCAATCTCAAACAGAACAGAAAACCAAGCCTAGGTCCATACCCGACCCGCGGTCGACTGCCGAATCCATCGCGGTCGATTGTGGCAAACAACATGACCCAAAAAACAATTATAGGGTCTTGCGGTCGACCGCCGCGCCAGCCGACGCGGTCGACCCGATGCGGTCGACCGCTAAAAGTCCAGAGACCAACCCCTATGCTGTGCATGTTCGCGATCGATCGTCGCGCCACTCACGGTCGGCCGTGCAACATCCAAAAACTATCCTTCATCTTTTTACCTGAACTTCTTCGCCGTTGTTCCCAATTCTACAATTCTCCACCTATGTGAAGTTTTCCCAAAATTGAGCCGACACCAACCAAACCAAATGACCCACTTATTGTGTCCAATATGAATTGAAACAAAATCACGACAACGGACTCAATTCACAACAAGTCGAGACTCAAATGAGAATGCGACCACTCTGCAAATGTTGGTATCTACTCACCAAATCGGCTACATCATAAATGACTGCCTACGTATCCTCTTGCCTAAGGAATCAAGCCTTCACATAGTTCACCCAAATGGCCTCCAAAGGCCCTCAATCAAATAGAAGAGTTCGTAACTCTTTACCAACAAATCTGCGACTGATAGCTCTCCCAATGGTCCTAAAGTGAAACAAATCAAACACCTCCACCTGAGGTGAACCAATGGTCATATCCAAATCCAAACTATGTCTACCAGCTGCACTCGAATTAACCAACTCATTATCTGCATCCAAATCCAAATGATCCTTAATCTGTGTCACCTCAGTTGAAATCCCAAACGATGCAGTATGATCTGGAGTATATAGAGTAATCTCCACCTAACGTGGAGTAGCATCACCCTCCACCCACTGTGATATCCTAACTATCTGAATAACACTCTCCACCTACCAAGAGTCAAAAGTGATATATCTGCTCAGAATAAAAATCAGAAGCTCCCAACTGATAACCAAATGAGCCTCTGAATCCCAACGTGCAATCAGATCAAATCTCACATCCTTGATGTGACCAAATGTTGGGCAACTAAACATCCGACGCAACCCAAAATATGAAGCAGCTCCACTAGATCCAAAATCTCCACACACAGCAGTCGGTAACTTATGACTAAGATGACCCAAATATATCGAAGCCTCAACACCAGAATCAATGCTCGACATCAAACGCTGATCCTCCTCCAGAAAGGAACGACTAATCAAAAATGTCATCTCATCTCGTTGCCCTAATGTTTCGCCTCTAATGAAGTGTCTCAAACTACTGTGAGCTCGGCACAAATGCAAGAAAGAGCCCCTACTAAAATCAGAACAACGAATTCCCTTTCTGCCAATACACTTCCTCCAACTGTTGTTGACTACTAGGACTTCAAACCAACGTGACTTGGTTGTAACCCACAAATGCCAAGTACAATCCCCAACATAGAAAACCAAATATCGATTACCTTATAATGATGCCTCATTGGAAGGCCCCCAAATACCTGAATGAACCCTATCTAGAAGACCTCTCGATCGATGGATAGAAGTGCCAAACTCCACCTCGGTCTTCTTGCTCATACCAATATGCTCAAAGGACTTCAATATGCAAGTCAAGGCACTTCTCAATAATCCATGCACCGTATCAACAATTGAATATCCCAGCCTTAAATCCTTCTTTCTCGGTCATCTTCCTCAAGCACCAACAAACCAATACAGAACAAACTGAAAGAAAATAGATCCAAACTATAAGAAAGGTAGATTTTTACCTTCAACTAAAACCCTAACAAGAGCCTCCAAAAGATCTCACCCCCACACGACAGAAGACAAGATCCACAATAGTAAAAATCCCACCTTTATCACCAACTGAAACTCTAGACGAGCTTCCAAAGCGATCTACTCCTCTACCAATCCTCAAGCGTAGCATGGGCTCTGATACCTCTTGTTGGGCTTTGATACCACTTGTTAGGCTCTGATACCACTTGTTGTATGTGGCGGAAGCCAAAACCAAACCGATGTGCTTCGAGAAACCAAACCAATCGCCAAGAGAGAAGGCCACAAACAATTCAAAATAATGACACAAATACAAACAACCAATTTTAACGTGGTTTGGAAAGTTGTCTACGTCCACGAGGCAAGAAAGGTGATGGGTTTTCACTATAGAGAAGGAGAGTAGAAACTGAGATTACAAATCGCTAAAACCAATCAACTAATCTCACCAACAAATCTCTCGATCTCTCAAACAATAACTCTAACCAATAGCTCAGAAAGATCTCTCTTTTTTGTGCTCTAATATCCCCAAAACAATTCCCAACCAAAGCTAAAGAAATCCTAAAACGTGTGTTTGTATTTATAGCAAACACCAATACTAAACAAAACATGAAACTAAGCCCAGGCCCAGACCCGACCCACGGTCAACCGCCAAACCCATCGCGGTCGACCGTGGCAAATGACAGAAC